AAACCAAAAATAAGGGTAGAAGACAGCTGAAGGTGAGAAAAGCCAGGTAGGAACACCATGCAGGTGTTTGGTCTGACAAGATAATTACTGTATAAACACTGCCACAGGCTATAACGGTCATTCAGAGGCGTAGGAAACCCTAATAGTAATTACTGTATGTACAAGTGCAATGAGCATTTTACGTTTTTAAACATATTGTTTAATGCATTTATATATAAGCTAAGAAATATTCAAAATATACAACCGAGTAACCGAGTAACGATTTTAGTATTCGATACTCGGACGTTCGATCGAGTACCCGGTTAACCGGGTACTCGTTGACATCCCTAGTGTAAAGTAACAATGATTTATTTTTCCTTGACAGATTTTACATTGGCTGCATGGGATTTCCATCGTGTCGCTCAGCTATCTGGTTACCTAACTTTGTTTTGGATGCTAGTGTTAGTGATGTCAAATGTGAAAATGTGAGTCCATCACTATCCTTCTGAAAGTTCTATGTAAAGATTTCTCTTATTGTTACACAGTGTGTGTCCTTTGTTTCAATTTTTTACAGCACCCTCCCTTTTGTTCATGTCTTTATAATAAATTTCAGTGTCAAGCCCAGCTGATGAATTTCAAATTCAAGATGGGTTCTGTACCTCCAATGTTACCACTACAGTGAGTTCAGGACAAGTTTCTTAAATTAGATAACTCTATTGCGTTAAGTGAAAAAAATGCTTTTAAATAGTAAATATTTACATTACACATGTATTTTGCATATAAAGTGTGTGGAAATCTATGGCTATCAAAACAAAATAACATGAAAAGGGGTTCAAAAGGTTAAAGCATGCGCTTTATTTTGATGTCACAAACATTGAATGCCAAGGAAGTGCCATGATTGAAAATATAAAAATCATTGTTACATTGGATCTTTCAATAACAATAGCTTACGCGAAGGATACGAGTATTACATAAATTTTCAAATATAAATGTAAATCACATTTGCAGTCAAGGCAGAGAGTTTTAAAAAATGTAAAAATAAGCAATGAATCAACGCACTTACACATGTTACTCAAATTGTTTGCATACACCTTTGCAGTTATGAGACTATATCTTTCAAAAAATAATTATTCATTGCTTAAATCTAGTGATTTAATACCTTTATCCATATATTAGCATCTATACATTTATATTACTCTATTTCATGTGGTGAAGAACCAAGATTGATTTGCCACTTTGTCAGGAAGAACTTGTTTTTCCAGATAGTTGAGTTTAAATTATAAGTTAAAATTTGGTTCCAAAGGCTATCAGGTAAAATGTGTAGAATTTGACAGCAAGGTTACCACCTTTATACTGGGATACATCAGGTGTTGTAGGGGAATATATTTTGTTTGTTTTATGTTTTTCAGATACACTGGATGTGTCGCTGGTTGTGACAACTTGCTTTCGGAATCCCTACAAATTAACAATTTTGGTAAGTTACTCAGAATCTGTGATTCTCTACAAATGAACAATGTGGGTAAGTTTACTTAGAATTTCTACATATTATAAATACTTGTATAAGTTACATAGATACTCTACAAAATATGAATGTAAGTTACACTAACTCTACACATTAACAAATTAAGTATTTTAATACACAGAATCTCTACAAATTACTGTAAACGTACTTATTTACATGGGGTCATAATTCCGCGGAATATCAATTTCTGTTTAATCCCCAGGTAGAAAATTACCCGGAACGCAGATTTCTTAGATTGTCACTATAAGCCTGACATATTACGCTTAGACAAATTTCCATGGAAAATTTGTGTCCGCACATTTAGCGTAAATTAATACCACGCAGAAAAAAATGCTTCTACAGTAAAAATATATTAAGTATGTTACACAAAATCTACAAATTTTTTTAACAATTTACATGTAAGTGAGCTACAAAGATTCTATGATATTTTACACGTGCATGTATATATATAGAACCAATTACACATTTCCATTGTACATTTCAGCTTTCTATGAACAGAAATTTATATTCATAAAAATATTTTGACAGGGGAGAATAGAGGAGGAAACAATTCTTTTGGAGAAGGTGGAGGGGGAGGGTAAGTTTAGCTTAGAACAACTTGTAAGTTTTAACAGAACCTATATTGATTTACTCATTTACTATCAGATTCTAGAGTGTCTGTGTACTTGTACATTTATCCCTGTAGGTCTGAATTTGAGAGAAACTCCAATGTCAACTGCAATTGTGGAAAACCTGCTAAAATGTAAGTTTGACTCTCTCTTCTCTAGGAATTCTTCAGTTCTTTGTGGCATTGTCCATATAGAAATTTGATTTATTGCTTTTACATGTAGGTTGACGGTAAATAAAGATGGCCCCAATAAAGGTCGGACATTTTATGCCTGCACCAATCCCAGAGATCAAAGCTGTAACTTTTTTCAGTGGGGAGATGAAATCACGGAGGCTGGCAATAACAGAACTGGTGAATAATAGCTTTGTAACATAGTGTCAAGTTTTGTTTCTTTAAAAACTTTTGCCGCATTAATCATCCTTAAAATATGTATTACAAATTAAAGTATTTCTGAACATAAAAAAATCAAGCTAAAAGATTTTAATGAAGATTAGCTATCATTTTAATGTGTTAAAAAACTTTTATTCAATTCCTATTATGTTTCATTGTATTGATATATTTCATATTATTGATAACATAATAATTCAGATTTTTTTCATCATGCTAGAAAAAATGTAATATATTTTGACTTGGACCTTCACTTCCATTTAGCTCCACCGTTTAGGTCTGATGCTCCAAGCTCTCAGCGAGTTCCCTTGGTAACAGTTCAGCCATTCAATAGACAGACAAACAATGAAGACAATGGACAGGACATTGTGTGTAACTGTGGGACGAGTGCAATCCTCCTAACTGTCAGAAAGGAGGGCCCCAATCAAGGTACCTCCCAGTCCCCTAATCATTTGTTACTGAGAAATCATGATAAAACTGTCAGATAAAAGGTATCCTACTTGCTAGGATAAGGAATAATCAATAGGTACATGTAATACAATTATAATATCAATCAATTTCTAAGTGATCATAAATTACTAGTGAAATAGACCTGAGATAATGAAGTTTATGCTGCTGGAAACAGTAAATATGTTAAATATAGCAAAGTCTTCGGATCAGTAGGATTTTTCAGGGGGTCGAAAACGTGATAGAAGGCTCGGCAGGCTTCGCCCTCTATCGCGTTTTCTTATTCTCACCCAAATATCCCTCATATTTCAAGGCAGTATTAAATCATATACATGTATTTTAAATATATGTCTGTAAAACAAATTCGGTAAAATATAAGCCATTGTAGTCCGTAGATACATGTACATGTATATCTCTCTTAGTTGCCATGGGATTAAGGAGTCTTTATAAGGGAAAACAAATTGATAGTTTCTCAGGCACTGCCACATCATGTCAAAAATTTTTGCTTTGACCAATTTTATTGACATTTTGAAAAAGAAATAATTTACATTATTTAATGCATTAAATTTCAAATAAATTTTTAATTGGCGTTATTTAGAGTTTATTACATATTATATTTAATATCAAAGAACAAAAATTAAGAATCAGTTGATATCATCATTTTGTTGAATGACTGACATAAAGAAAGGTATAACACCTACTAAAAAGTAAAAAAAAAAAAAAAAAAAAAAAAAAAACTGCCAGCTGCATTGTTTGTTTGGCTTGTCAAGAAACAATTTTTTTTGGCCGAAGACAATTACCATGAAATACATTGTTAAATGTGTTTTTATAGGGAGACAGTTCTACAAATGTGGAGGATCCAATTGTAACTTCTTCCTGTGGGCAGACCAATCTCAGGACCAATCATTGGATAACAACAGGAGGCCCCCAGGAGGGGCAGGATGGGGGTAAGACAAGGGGCATTCATTATGTGGATAATTAGTTTCTGTTAGTAGGACTTCTTATGCAAAGGAAGATTCTTACGCTTTTGAAGATTTTGATTGTGTTGTAGGTTTAATAATCAGAGTTCAGACATGGAGATGAATTGCAATTGTGGAACACCAGCTAGACTGTAAGTTATCTATTGCAGAATTGTTTACTTTTGTGAGATAGGCTTAATGTTTTTATGCCCCGCCATGAATATGGCCTGGGCATATAGCGTTTGTCATGTCCGTCTTCCGTCCTTCCGTCACACTTTGCATTTAGCTCTGTTCAAAGCTAAGTTTCAAAGAAACTATCTAAGATATTGTCATCAAACTTCATATGCTAATAGATATTGATGAGAGCTATGCAACTGCATCAACATTTTTTGACCTTGACCTTTCCTTTGACCTTGACCTCACTTTTCTTAAATTAGTGTTTAGCTCAGTTTTAAACATACCATTCAAGATGGTGTTATCAAACTTCACATGTTGATACAAACTTGCACGGATGATGCATCTAGGGATGAACACTACAAGACTTGCTTCGGATGCTGGATCTGACCTACATTTTCTTGATGAGTGACCAAGTTAAAGTTTTTGGAGCAGGTTCATTCCAAAGGAACTATAAGCCCTACTTGGACCAAACTTGCATAGATGATGCATCTAAGGATGGACACTATCAGACTTACTTCGGATGCTGGATCTGACCTACATTTTCCAGATGAGTGATCAGGTTCAAGTTTTAGGAGCAGGTCCATTTCCAAGGAACTATAAGCCCTACCCAACCAAACTTGCACGAATGATGCATCTAGGGATGGACACTACCAGACTTGCTTCGGATGCTGGATCTGACCTATATTTTCATTCCCAAGTAACTATAAATCCTACCTGAACCAAACTTGCACGAATGATGCATCTAGGGATGGACACTACCAGACTTGCTTTGGATGCTGGATCTGACCTATATTTTCATTCCCAAGTAACTATAAGCCCTACCTGAACCAAACTTGCATGGATGATGCATCTAGGGATGGACACTACCAGACTTGTGGTTCGGATGCTGGATTTTACCTACATTTTTATTTCCTACTAACTGTAAGCCCTACCTGAACCGAACTGATCAAATTTTATTCACATACAAATTTTCATGTTGCTTTACTAATATATCCTCGGCGGGGCATTCATGTTCTATGGACATATTTCTAGTTTTTTCTAAACATGTAGTTCATCTTTTCGTTTAAATTTTTTTATGCCCCACCATGAATATACATGTAGTTGGGCATATAGTGTTTGTCGTGTCCTCCTTTCACCTTTCTGTTTGTCAAGCACTTAATAGATCAATTTCAGTGGAAATGATCAACTTGAAGATATTTTAGCCTTCATCCATACATTGATACATATGTTAACAGCTCTTAAAGTGTTTCTTTTTTTTTTTTTACTTTGAAAACAGAAGAAATAATGAATTAAAAAGTGAAGAACTATAATTTCAGGTTAAGAGTGGTTAAAGATGGACCTAACAAGGACCGAGAATTTTTCTCCTGTTCCAAACCTAGAGGCCAAGGCTGTGATTTCTTCCAGTGGGCAGATATTACCAGTATGTTGGAGTATTTATGACTGATTATGACTTTATAGTTAAATATGTAAAGTAGTTGCATGTGTATATGGGATGATTTTTGAAAGCCCCCTAATTTTCTGTTGACAGATGAAAACAGAAGTGATAGTGGAGGTTTAGGTGGTACAGGGTATGTAAGGAAATTCTTTTTATCAGTGAGCTCTATAAGCTAATCATAAGCTGGTCTTTAGGGTTGTATCTTTTATTTTTGTCTCGTATTTGTAGGTTTCAGGCTGGTGGAAATTCAGATGTGTGTTGTAATTGTGGAAATCCAGCCAAAATGTAAGTTAGGTTTATATCAGCATATGTTTATATCAGTGTTGTAGGATTTTGAATGGCTTGGCAGCCATATACATGTCTGTATATGCAATCTGAATGTTTATACATGTATTTGTCTTCCATCTCCACATGTATATGCTTTCTGACCCTCTTTGCATTTAGCTCAGTATTTCAAAAAAAAAATGGCTAAGTAATATCTGTGATAAAATTCAACGAAAAATAAGATTAAGGTTGAATACCTCACTGTCAAGATTTTTCCATTTCCTACATGAACAAAAAGAGCATTTTCACACTTTTTTGTAAAAATTTATCTGCAGGTTGACAGTTAATAAGTTTGTTATTATTATTCAGGTTAACAGTGAATAAGGAGGGCCCCAATAAAGGTCGTACATTTTATGCCTGTGCCAAACCACGAGAACAGAGCTGTAAATTCTTCCAGTGGGGAGACGAAAATCCAGAGGGAGGCAACACAGGCTCCTGTAAGTCACTGAGCCATATAATGTATATGTAACCAACAGAACGGCTTACTCTTCTAGATCTGATGTACATGTAAATTTTGTTGGATTATTGACCGCAAATGTTGCTAGATGATTTAAGTGCCAAATCTCTTGATTTCCATATATACAAACAATTTCAGTTTTGAAATGCTGGAACATTAAATAAATCATCAGTAAATAAGAAGGGGGCCCTAATAAAGATCGTACATTTTATGCCAAACCCAAATAGAAAATTGTTGTTTTTGATTCGTTCTCTTTACTGAATGCATGAAACTTTTTCACTTAAGAAACATCATACATTTTTCTTTTTATCCAATGGTCTAGAATGATACAAACAGGGTATTAGCACCTTTGTTCTTGCACAATTTTGTAAAAAATCTAGTATTTTTAGGATGTGTTCTTTTAAATACTGTAGACGCACTTTTTGCCAAGGGGTCTTAAGGGAATGAAGGATGTATGGTCACGTGACTCAGTTGATTTACGTCATAATCTCTGATAAAATATGTACAAAACGAGATTGAAACCACAGTACCTGTATAATTTTTTTGACTGTTTGTTTGCGTTCACCATCTAGTATATAAAAATATCTGAAAACATTCAAAATTTCTTGCAAATATTATCAATATTACGGAATAGATTACTCCACTCTGCCGTTTCCCTTCTCTGCGCGTCCAGTGCGTCTTTGACGTCATAGTGGATCTCTTAGTTCAGTAAGATCATACACGTAAAAACGGGTAGTATAAAATCATAAAAACGGGCCATATTATGTACATGGTAGGGTATTTTGTAAAATTCAGAACGCAAAAAATATTTTTACATGGTTGTTGACGGAAAAGTTCTGTGGGTTTGTCTTATTTCGCTTATTTCAGGAATGTGTGACGTCATAGTTGGGTTTTCCCGTACTCGAGAAATGTAAACATGACACGTTTTTCTCATGATCATGACTCGTTTAACTTTGCCCCGTGCAGTATTGAGCTCAGCTTCACCAATCGATATTTTTACAGTTAATCAATACAATGACGACCTTGAACTTCGACGTAAATTTTCAAATATTGAATGATAGGATTTTTTGCAAATTAATTTTTTTATGGTTTAAGTTGTCCTAAAAAAGTCGTAAATTTCCGTCTCCAGATGTGGTGTTACAAAAGAGTCTTGCTTTTTCGAATTTTTAACCCTATTCATACTCTAAAATATTTTAAAAGACACATTGCCGCTGGTATATTTTTTATCTATGGTGAAAAATTTCAATTATCGACCAAGTAATGGTCCCAGGAACACGGAGAATAAAAACTCCGCTCAGACACTGTGGGGTATGGTATTTGTCACTCAATATCTCAGAAATAAGTCTAGAAACCTATTGATATGTCTGCTTTATAGTATGTAGGACATACTAAATAAGATATATACAAAATATAAAAAAATTAAATGACAGGTATTTTTTCAGCTAAAGGTCCTTCATCCCCTTAATTCTGCAGAATCTCCATTTCCGTTTAATCTGCTTGTTGAAAGTTACGTGGATTTCTTAGACTGTTACTATATGCCTTGCATTTATATTGTAAGGACCTGTCAGCTGTCTATAATTTAACTTGTTGTACTATGTAATATTTATTGGGTGGGTGGACTTTACTTGTAATGATATTCCACGTGTGTCAAAACGTTGCGACAACTTTGGCCGAGAATGTTAGATTTTGTATTTATTTTTACATGTCATGAATTAATTACCTTTCATCTTAAATCTGCATGTATTTGTAGAGTTAACCGTCATTATTTTAGCAGTTCTACGTGTCTGGATTAGCTGTAATAGTTTGAATTATCCGCTGCCATGCCACTTGTTTACATTCGGCCCGCCATCTTTATATCGGTGCATGCTATGTATATTGTTTCGTATTTTACCTAACTTATTATCTGTGCTACATTACGGGCATAATTACTTGCTATTTATTATGTTAATTATTATTGTGGGTTCTACTATTCATTTTAGCCATTATTGTTCCTGATTACATGTGTCTACAACTTGCACTATGTTTTTATCCATCCGCCATATCGTCTGCATACTCAGCAAAGTTATTTATGTGAAATTTACAAGTTTCTGATATAAATTGTTTACTTACTTATTATAGACGCATCTCTTGTTATCCACATTTATTGATTATGTTGTCTTTTCACATGTTAATTCCAGGGTTTGTTTATAATCTAAGTTGTACGACAATTTTGTCCGACAGTACGACACGATCTTTATTTTGTACGATGTCGTACATTGTCGTGATTGGTGGAACGTCGCCGTACAGCATTTTTATTGGTTGAATCTAGTCATGTGACCCTTTTCCGAAGGTTATATATATGGGCCGATTTCATTATGTAAACAGATAATTTGCCGAGTTGACAGGCGCGTATATTTCAAAGAGACAATTCTAAGATCCGCCCATATTTTTCACAGTAGCCTTTTACAGCATTACAATCGTGATTTCAGGTGAGAAAATGATCGACAATTATCTCCCAACACACTGGACACCTATTTAATTGAAATTAACTGTGGGGATCATCCTAGTTTAGCCTTGTACACCCCCCTCTTTTTATAATAGTAGTCTGTACGGTAGACGCCACCAAAATTTATTATTGTACCTTTTGAAATGAGTGCTGATTTATGATTAATAAATATTGTTGAGACCAAGACGAATCTTATGTTTTCCCTATAACCAGAGGAACAAGGATTTTAGTACATGAGTACTAACTACCAGTATTTATTTAGTACATGAGTACTACCAGTATTTATTTTGTAGCGTCCCTGACTTAAGCTTGGCCATTCCCAGGGAGCTTACAATTTTTGGTGTCAGAAGTGGGATGCTAAGATTATTTTTATAGCATCCTGTGATACGAGCCCATTCCTTAATCTCTCAGCTGTCCAGTGTGTTGGTTTTTATTGTATATAGTGTACATATTGTGTGTATATATAAATATACGAATATACTGAAAAATAATCATTTTTTTTTAAATTTAATTTATCAGCCAATATTACTCAAGTAGACCATGGCAGAGTCCTCTTATACCTCCCCTGACCCAGAAATACAGTTTAATATTCACAGTGAGGCAGGTCAAGGTGACCTGCCCCCTTCTCCCAAGCAGGTTAGATTAGAGGGGCCCATTCATTCACCAGTTCCAAATATAGCCCCTGAGATGTTCCGAACACCTATTATACCAGACTTAGATAGAATTCCTCTCCCAAGACGCCAGCTAGGCAACCCTATAGGTGACTTTACCCAACAGGGTATGCCCCTTGTGAAACCTGAACCTTATAACGGTAAGGAGGATTGGGACGAATATATTTCCCACTTCCAAGATTGTGCCGAATTAGGTAGGTGGTCTGATAGAACAAAACTTCTTTTCCTTGCTGCCAGTCTCCGTGACCAGGCTAGAACCTACTACATGAGTCTATCTGCTGAAGACAAAGAATCCTTCCAGTCCCTAAGAGGTAAATTAAATCAGAGGTTTGGGAGTAGTAAAAACCAAAACAGATGGCTGTCCAAGCTAGAGTTGAGGAAGAGGTTACCAGGTGAGTCTATTGCTGTCCTAGGTGATGATATTCGCCAGATGGCACAAAGAGCGTACCGTAATCTTGATGCACTTGCCCAAGAGGCACTGGCCCTGAATCAGCTGTACAAGGTCATTCCACTGGAAATGAAGTGTAGGTGTATAGACAAGGACTGTCAGACCGTTGCTGAGGCTGTTGATGTAATAGAGAGATATGAATCCATTCTTGGCACAGATGAAAACAAACAGAAATCTAAGGTACGCAGTGTAGACACAAATTCCAAGCCAAAGCGCCCTGCTAATGAACTAGGATCTGAAGCATCAACAACACCTGACAAGTTGAACTCAACACTGCAGGAACTTATGTCCAGACTTGACCGTCTAGAAAACAATGACAACAGACAGAGGAATTATCAACGATACCCTCAACACAAAAACTGTTTCATCTGCAATTCTCCAGACCACTTTATGAATATGTGCCCACAGAGGTATCAGCACCAGAGACCACAGAGACCTTCCCATAATAATACCAGGACTAAAATGAACCAGGGAAACTCCCGCCCGCTGACTCAGTAGGCCAGGAGCCGGCGGAGGTGGAGAGGCCTAAGATCAATTTGGAATCTAGGGGAGGCCACATAGGGGAAATAAATGAAAAATGGGATAATGGTTTTTACACAAAAGCAGAATTACTTGACTCTGAAATCAATTTTCTTATTGACAGTGGGTCAACCATCTCCATTATTTCCAAAGCTATTTTTGATAAATTTATGCCAGAACAAGTCCTGGAGCCTTTAGCAATAAATATTTCAGATGTCAGTGGGAGGAAGCTCATTACATTTGGATCACTTTGTTTGCCAATCAAATTTGGGAGCTCAGTTTACCAGCAATCATTTATTGTCTGTGACATTTGCCAAGATGGGATATTGGGACAAGATTTTCTTTTGGACAATGTTCAGAAGATTAACTATCAACAGCTAGTCTTACTAACCAAAGAGCAAGAAGAAATCCAGTGCTGGGTAGGAGGAAAGGAAAACATGAGATGCAGGGTTGTGATGAAGAAAACAGTTACAGTTCCTCCTAATTCAGGCTCATTTATACCAGTTAGAATACCAGGTGCAGAACATCTGTCGGAGTCAGGCCCAGTGGAGCCTTCATCTGATATAAATGGAGTATTCATTCTTCCTGGAGTTGTCCATTTGAATACAAATGATGTTACTTTGAGCGTCCATAACACTACTACTGACCCAATAACCCTGTATGTTAATCAACCATTGGGCATTTGTACTTCCTTTACTGACTTGACCAATGAGACGCCTGCCTGTATCCGATCAGTGCACAAAGATCCTATCAATGGTAGTGATTCTTCTGTGCCAGACTACCTTGCTGACCTACTCGAGAGAAGTTCTGTTCATCTGGATTGTGATCAAGCACAAGTTTTACAAAATTTACTTATTAAATATAAAGATGTCTTTTCCAAGTCCTCCGA